ATTTTTAAAAATAAAAGATCAATAGGATTAACAATGCAGATTTATTTTCACAGCCTTTTTTGATCATATTTACCAAGGGTGCCAACAATTCTGACCACGACTGTACATGAAAATGTTTGTAAAATGGCACCGTTTTTAAATATCTGAAAGTACACTTAAGCATTATAATATGATAATCAAGTATTATTTAATGATAGAACTTTAGTAATTAGAATTTAAACTTGATAACCATGTATGAATGCATATTAGTCATTTTAACTGAACTGACTGGTGGTGGTGCTTTTTGATCATTCAGTGTTTCAGGGACAATAACAGGTGAGCGCCAGCCAATGAGATTGCTGTTTGTGCATTAGTTCTGCCCACTACCGGAAAACCCGGCAGTTCTTAAAAGCTAAAGAATTCCAAAGCAACGCTGTTATTTTGACAAGAAAATACAACAAAGAATATTGTTTACATGTAGCGCGTCAATTCTCTCTCTCTCTGCGTGTGTGAGAGACAAAGTGACGGCAAGGTGTGCGCCTTCACACTAGAATTTACGGTACATTAAATACAGGTGCGCTGCGCATTCATTTAGATGAACTGAAAAATAGCACAGATCGCTTGACGGAGAGAGAAACTCTGAAGCACTCAGTCAGTGTTCGGCGAGTGAAAATATATCTGTGCTAAACTTATACTTAGCCTCCAACTCACACACTGGCGAGTAAAGTCTGAAAATGTATTAGCCATTGGCTAATGTTAGACATCATTTAGTCGCCCAATATTAAAAAAATGTACAAATGCAATAAAAATATTGGTATTGGTACTCTTTATCGGCAAGAACCAAAAATAAAAGTATCGGTATCGGGTGAGTACTGGAAAAAGTGGTATCGGTGCATCCCTAATTAGTGGGGTTGTCACTAAAAATTATATTGGCAATTGAGTAAGCAGACAATTATGTTGATACATACGGATACATTTTTGCAAAAATTCATGAAAATAGACTTGAATAGGTGTGTTAAATGTCAAAATTTAAACCATCATAATACCATAATTTGACTGAAACTGCACCAAACACATAACACAGACCACAACAGTAAGCCTATTTTCAGGCGCTGCATAATATCATTGCACCTGCTGCACCCAAAGTTCCTTGATAATTACGCCGGAATGAGAGTATAGTTCCTAGCCATATCGGCCTAGAAAATCCCAACTTCTCATTTTCGGTCGGTCTTAGTACACGATGTAACTACAGAAGAGTCAAGTTTTAAATAGGAAAAATATAGAAACTCTTTGGTCATTTTTGAGGGAGATGCTAACGGTCTAATCAGATTCAATGATCTATGCTAAGCTACAGCTAAAAGTGCTACCGCCAGACCCGGAGATCGGCTGAATGGATTCTAAAACGGTAAAACTCAACTGTTTAACTCTAGGGGAGTTGGAAAATGAGCCTATTTTCAAAAATAGTGGAGTGTTCCTTTAAACATAAGATGAAAAAATATATTAAATCACTCTGAAAGTGCAAAATATCAGCCCTTAGTAGGCCATTCTACCATATCATCTTCAAAACAACACAAACATTAACAAACACAGGCCAGCACTTATAAGAATCATTTTCTTTTAGAGGGCTGCGGTGAGTTTTGCAGTGCTATTATAACCTGTTTCTTTGGTTATTAAATAGGAGCCTAGTAACTCCTAGTTAATCAAATAGCACTATGCCTTAGTGCTATTTGGCTCTCTGCAGTGGGAAAACAAAATCCAAAACCTCTGGGAAGAACACGCTGCTGGCTGAAAATGAAAAGGAAGACTGAATGGAAAAGCACTGTTAAAAGCAGGGAGGCAGATCGGATGGAGGGATTTGTGACAGACCCCCAGTGTGTGACTCACAACAGGAGGAGGGCCCTTATGTTTCCTTTTGACATCCAGTGCCACCTATTTAATCTTATCTTCCTCCAATGTGGAAAGGAACGGATGATGAATTTAATAGAAGATCATTATTCTCCGCAGTATAAAAACACACTGTCCCAGAACAGATGATGAATTCAATAGAAGATCATTATTCTCCGCAGTATAAAAACACACTGTCCCAGAACAGATGATGAATTCAATAGAAGATCATTATTCTCCGCAGTATAAAAACACACTGTCCCAGCACACACACACACATACACCTGCTGGCAAAAAGACCGTTACAGACGTACTTCCTACTGAGAGCAGACAGAAGGGGGGTGGGGAAACAATACACTGCATTTTTTAATTGGAAAAACCAATCTCTTCCTTGCAGTGCCTGACCATCAACAATTAGTAGAAAAACGTATATCTCAAACGGCCGTGTTGCTGTATGAAAAATGAATTTGCACTTTAAAATTTTTCCAGAGCACAGTACAGTACACAAAACTTTAACGAGACGGCTCTGAATAAGACTGTCTGTTTCTGTATATGTTCTCATGTTCATATGTATGAGCGTTTGTTTGGATTGAGACTTTAATTTGTTTGTGGCAAAATCTCTCTCTTTAAAGATCAAAACCAAAAGATGGCTACTTTCTAGGGCTAAAAAATAACCTCAATATTTTTTCTGTCTTGTGATGATTTTCAATATATTGATATGATTTCCATTCAATTGGAGGAACCATCATTTCAACCAAACTGCCATGGCTGCAAATCATATTCAAAATGTACAATGCGAGTAAAATATAGTAAAAATCTAGTTTAAAATGATCAAGGCATGTTTGGGATAAGAACTTTTTTTTTTTTTTTTTTAAGTCTCTTATATTCTGGCTATATTTATTTGATCAAAAATACAGTAAAACAGTAATACTATAAAATGTTTATATGAATATATGAAAATGTAATTTCTGTGTTGAATTTTCAGCAGCCATTACTGCAGTCTTCAGTGTCATATGATCCTTCAGAAATCATTCTAATATGCTGATTTTGTGCTCAATTTGGTGCTTATTTAGTGTCGTATTATTATCAATGTTGAAAATATTAAGCAGTTGTGCTGCTTAATATTTTTGTGGAACTCCTTGATGAATAGAGAGTTTAAAATTATAAAAAATTATCACCCAGCCCTACTAGTTATCCAACAACTTTTGAAACACTAAATCTACCAACGCACTAATAAATGCATACAAATGGCTGCATTGACAGCCAGGCCTTCAAGCAAAGGAAAGAAGACTTCACCTGTAAGTCACCCAGGCTAATCTATAAATGGTTGGCTACACAAATGACGGAATAGCACAGTCACACCGCTACCTCCCCGTCATGTCTGTGACAGCTGCACAAATGCCCACCAGTTGATCTGCTGAACAACCTCATTCTGAGCTGCCTGAAAACACAGATGAACTCAGCTGAAAGAAAGAGAGAGGCACTACAGGATAGGGAATGGTTATTTCTAATATAAGAGGTAGAGAGAACAGTCCTCTAATTGGAGATTCTGGCCAAAATCTCTAAACAATGGTGCCTCAAAACAGCAAGCAATAAGGGTTCGGATTCGAGAGAGAAGAGTGCCAGCCAGGACGGCACCCTTCTGGGTAAAAGGACGTCCAGCAACTAAATGATCCTACAATAAGCAGAAGTGACAAAAGAACCATTTGGTACCACTGACACTACATGACACTCCAATATGGAGGATTAATGTTTCGATGGTCCATGCATGCAAAGCCTTCCTTCATACCGAACATTTCGAGGAGGAGAGGGGAATAGGGGAGTTTGTCCTAGTATGGACTTAAAAAGATATGATAGTTTAATGGGGTCTATATGCACATTTTCACAAAACAATATACTTAAAGGGATAGTTCACCCAAAAATGAAAATGTTATGTTTATCTGCTTACCCCCAGGACATCCACGATGTAGGTGACTTTGTTTCTTCAGTAGAACACAAACAAAGATTTTTAACTCAAACTGTTGCAGTCTATCAGTCTTATAAGGCCCTTTCGCACCGCTTTAGTTCCAGAACTAAACGTACGGTACTAAAGTACTGGGACGATTTTGCGCGAACTATTTCCCAGTACCATTTAAAGGGTTGCATTCGCACCGAGAGTATGTACTAAGAAGTGACGTAAGCCGGTCGACAGCGACGTCATTTGTGCGCGGCGTTCAACAACGAAAACAAAGAACAACAACAACGTTAACAACAGGAGGATGGAGGACGCTGTGATCGGAGCTGTTTTTGTTGTCTCGCGGGTTTCACAATAATGGACATGGAAAGTCGACGTATACGTAAAGCGATTGAAAGAACGGAAAGTAGGACTAAGAATCTCCAACGACAACTGCCAGTGCTACATTTGTTACAAGTGCCTGCACTTCAGCGTCCGTCCATCTATCGCTGTTCTCCATACTTGCGAAATAAGTTGACACAATGTTTACAGTATGTTTACACAGCGTTTTAAATCACGGCGGGGGAGGGGGTTTTCATACGCGTTTGGCCAATCAATGTCTACTTACGTCACGATTAGTACCAGTTGTGCTGGTTAGACCCTGCTCCGGAGTAGGAGCTAATTTGGTTCTCGAAAAAAGGCAGTCTGGTACTAAAATCGCTCCCAGTTCCGGCGGTGCGAACACGCCGAAAAGTGGGTAGTTCCACAATTAGTTCTGGTACTATGAAAAGGTTCTTGCAGTGCGAAAGGCCCTATAATGGATGTCAATGGGCTCCATGGATTTGAGAGTAAAAAAAATAAATAAATAAAAAAAACCATACAGACAAAACCAAATTAAACCCTGCGGCTCGTGACGATACACTGAGGTCTTAAAACACAAAACGATCGGTCTGTGCAAGAAACTGAACAGTATTTATATATTTTTTTTTTACCTCTGATCCACCGCAATGTCAGGTGAACTATCCCTTTAACAATCCAAATGAAATCTTAAACGCAAGCATGATTAATGCTCAACTCTTTATAAAAGCCATGAATTCTGGTACAGCCAGGTAAAGCAAATACATTAAGCTCAAGAGACATGTCAAAAAGTTAAACATTAATTCCTGTGACAAATCCTACATATACATGTCTATAGAAAACCCACCTGAGACTGAATTTCTCACAATGACAGAAGTGCAGTGTGGGCTGTGAAATGAAGAGGCTCTGGAAGAACATGAGTTTCCATTGTTAAATGGTCAGGAGCAGCGACCTATTAAAACAAGAGACACTTTATAAGATTATATTGCTCAGAACAGCACTGTAACAAATCACATTCACTACATGCAACAGGGTTTACTGGCTTGATCTTTACAGCCCTTCAGGTGACCTTATCAAAGACATTAATGACATTTTTTTTTTGTAGTTTTTACGTATTGTTTTTCCCAGACAGTGGTGTACTTTGCATGCAATGTTTGTTCTAGCTACCTGTCCTGGAAATTCCCACTTATGTGATAAGAGCACAAGCTAAGAACATGAAGAACTTTTTTTCAAGACTTGAATGATGTCACAAGTTCTCCCTGGGTAAGTATAGTTACACAAAAACAAAATAAAATTAAAATACAAAAAACGGTATTATATTAGGTGTTTTCGAGCTATAGAGAGCTGACGGCTCCTTATGCTTTCGAATCGCTCTCGCGGTACTTTGATGTCATACACCGATCGGTCTGCGCAGGACAGCTTCAAGTCAAACACACCTAAACCAGGTTTAAACCTACTCTGAAACTCAGAGTTTCAGACCACTGGAGTCTCATGAAAAAAATAAACGTTTAATACAATTACTCTATGTGCTTCCTGAGTTTGTGTTTATAATTGTGTGGCATTCAGAGGCATTTAGCAGTCATATTGTTTTTGAAAAACTCGGATTGGCATGTAACAATCAGTTTCATTTCACAGAAGTAAATCTTCTCAGGTCTGGCAGGGGACTGTAGAAAGGAAACAGCCCAAGCTAACCACAGTGACAAGGCCTGCCTCTGTTAGCAATGCAAAAATGCTCAAAGCTCAATCACATCCCACGCTTTGTGAAAATGTTTTTTGTTGTTGTGTTTTTTTTTTTATATATATAAATTTCTCAAACGATTAGCGCATTCAATTATTCTCCCTCATAATCGGTTCTTGGAACGTTTTCAAAGCACATGGCACAACCCAGTTCGGTAGCGTATAAACAACCAAATGCATGCCAGATTATGCCTATCAATTACTCACTCATCACGTTCAATTAAAACATCTGGGATTAATGGGATTCATGATTATGATCTTAATCAATCCAAATAAAGCAGGTGACACCTGATGACCAAACAGCACAAATACACCATCAATCAAATAGTAAACGTGATGCAAATCCTTGAAATCCCTGGAAAATGAAGACATCATGAGCATGGCATAGAAAATACGACTTTTCCTATTGTCATTCTCTACCACCTTGAATCTGCAATAATACAGTGCTCATTAATACAAGAGATCATTAAACTTGGAAATGTATGCTTCAACTCTCAACATCAGAGAACAGCAGTCTCTACAGGTGCACAATCTGTAAATTAAAATCATGCCAAAAAAGCCCAGAGCCTGAATCGTGGTCCCCGCTCACCTCATTGTGCGCACACATACACACAAATTAGACACTGTTCAATGAGCACTCTGCATTTCTATAGGAGCCCGGCAAGTCCCATTTGTTTACATGGCACTAATTAAGTGTGCTTTAATGGAGGAGCAAAAGTGCCAACAATGAGTCCCTGTGTTGGGAATGAGGGAACGTCTCAGGTTCTGTTCGTCAGTCCTGCATTACACATCACAGCCGTTACAAAAACATGAAAGCAAAAATGACCATTGCGAACAATTCATTAGTAGGGTTAGATTGGGGAAGATGCTCTCCTTAAGTAACAACAGGGTGATGATGAATATTCTATATTACTAATAAAGGAATTAAATGGAGACTTTTGCAAATTCGGATACATCACAAAATTAAAAATTATGAAAGGGAGTCATCCTGTCCTACGATTAAGCTAAACTTAACCCATTTGACATTTGATTTTTGCAGAATGTTAAAAATGTCTGAAATAATTATTTTGTGGAGGGAAAAAAACATGTACAGGCCACTTTTATCATCCAAACATCACAGTGGGGGGGGGGGGGCAAAGTTTTC